CAGGTCGCTGTAGAGGAAACAGACTAGCAAAGTAGAATGGCTGAAATGCAGAGAAGTCCTTAAACAATGGGCCAAAAAACTGGACTTTATTTTGTAAACAAAACAGGATTACTGAGAAGCTTTGTATAGGACTCATACAATTAAAAACGATTCCTGAAGATTATTTTATATGGCAATTGTAGACTGGAATAAGAAGGCCAAAACTACTATTTTCCAACTGCTGTGAGTTGAATCCTCCATAGATGAAAGGCAAAAATTAAAATTTTTGCTACGACACTAAACATACTGTTAATGATGATATTAAGTGGTACAGAGAATGGGAATGGCATAGGTTTTTGCAAATAAGAGTAAAAGGCACACTGAAAAGTCAAGCTGGCACAAAAGTAAAATCATATTTTGTGAGCATGAGGGGTGATTAGGGTAGTAATTATTTAATAGTTCTGAAAGGCAACCAAGTGAACACTTTACTATCATTAGGAGGTATTTTTATATTTTAAGAATGACTGGGTTATAATCAGGTTGGTTTGTATTCTGAGTTCTTTTAAGGTAACTGAAGCATCTGTGCAGTACTCCAAGGAGCTTGTCTTTTCTTCAACAACTCATTCCTTCATTCCTTCAGTCATTCAACAAATATTAAGTACATGTGACAGGCTAATTACCATTCTAGGCACTGGGGAAACATCAGTTTACAAAACAAAGATCCCTGACCTCCTGGAATGTATATCCTAGTGGCATTTAAATACCTTTCTAAAACTCTTCTCCCAAAGCTAGTATATGGGAGTAGCTTTTACAAATGCCTTTGGAAGAAATAATCTATGATTAATCCACACTAAAATGTGAAAGACTAATAGTTTCCTGAGAGGTAATTACCCTTGAAAAATAAATGTTGAACACACAATGCAATATATATATGCCTTATTGTTAAATTGTACACCTGAAACTTACTGGATTTTATTAATCAATGTCACCATAAAAAATTTAAAAAAAAAAAAAAAAGCAAACTTAGAAAAAAGAAAGAAAAATAAATACTTCACAGATTCACAGCTCTTAAGAGTTGGAAAGGACCTTCAAGTTACTTTCAATTTACAGATAAGATTAAGGGATTTGACCAAGAACATTCAGTCACTAATAGGAGAGCCAGGCATAGAACTTCCTACAGTGTTTGTGCCTTTCCCATATAACATCTAGATGTTTGTGCCTTTCCCATATAACAAAGATCCCTGACCTCCTGGAATGGACCTACCTGTTTTAAGATTGTACTGGTAAGAAGAAATGCTAGAATGGCATTCATGATTCATACACAGGTGATAGGTTCCTGTGTGACTTGTTCAAGGCAAAAAGGATTTTAGGCAGTGTGTAAAACTGAAAGAGAGGTGGTAAACTGGGGGTACCTTTCAGAAGACCCTGTCTCCCATCTCTACCCACACTGTGTCCCAAGAACAAAGATAGGAAATAAAAGACTTCTCCAAAGTTAATGGGTATTAGCTATTAGTGAGAAGATACTTAGAGATGAGCGCAAAGTAGTAAACATTGCATTTTAATTCAACAATGTCAAATTATATCCTATGTAATTTGAAAAGTTTCCAATAAAAGTATCATTTATATTAATTTTAAGGTTTTTAAATTTACTTTCCTAAATACATTTTCCAGAAAACATCAAATTAACTGACGTAGATCAACAAGTATAATGACTGATAAAATAGCAATGGCATATTGACTAGTGTGATGTTATGAGGCATGCCATCACTGGGCAAGCATTTTGAAAGATAATTCCTTCTCACTTCTTGCTTATAAACTGTAGCAATCAATACATTTAAAAAATCCCAAACTAGCCTTAAATCTCTAAAAATCCATCACCAACAAGCCTGAGCCTTATTTAATATTCTATAGAAAATATACATTTAAAAACTTTACCAAGAAAGAGAAAGTAGAAGTCTTGATAAGAATTGAAAAATAAGCTTAGTACAAAAAAAAGAAAAAAGAGAAGAAAATCGAAGTAAGATTAATTATAGGAGTTTTAGAAAGAGCTGATAGGTATTCAGGGGTCCTCATTAAAATCTCATTATGTGTCTCTGTGAATAGCAGTTTACATTTTTAAAATAAAAAGTATCATGAGACTCCCAATTTATTTTCAGTAGCTCCATCATTCTTTGAGCTTCCCAGATTTAAAATCTTGGAGATACAGCAGACTTTTACCCCCACTGTTGTCTGTAGTTAATCAGTCATCATTTTAATAGTTATTCCTTCAAAATGTCTTTTGAATACAAAATTCCCAATTTCAAAAGAATACATACAAAAACAAAAGCTGACTATTAAAAAGAACATTTGTCAAAGAATGAGAAATACTCATGATATGCTGAGTCAAACAGAACAAAACAAAAAACCCAATCACCATAGGGAGAAAAATGTATAATCCTAGTTTTATAAAAAGGAAAATAGTTCTCAGCATAAAAAAAGTTTTGAAAGGAACCACTACATAAAAATATTAACAGTTGTCCTTTATGTAGGGGTTTTATAACTGTTTTTTTATTTTTTTCACACTTTATATTTCCTAAATTTCCTACAACGGACATGCATTATTTTCAAACTTAGAAAAGATGTTATTTAAATAATTGTCTCATTTTACCACTACTTATCCATTCTCATTGCTCTCATCTTATCCCCCCACAGTCTCTCCTTTCCAGGACTCCAACAAGCAGCCTCCTTCTTTGACGTCTCTGAGCCAGCTTCTCCCCAAATTTAATACTGCTTGTACTCATGCTCCTAAAATTCGTCATTAATATTTATCTACAGCACATGGAAGCAGAAATGGCCGTCTAAACGATCAACTTAAAACACTTTCTCAGTCTCGGGACCACTGACATTTGGGGCAATATTTCTTATGGAGGGGCTTGTCCTATAGTAGGATATTTTGTAGCATTCCTGATGATGCCAGTAGCACCTCCCACCTCCATTAGCCCTAGTTGAGAACCGTCCATTTAAAAGTTTTAAAACTTCCAAAATCATATCTCTCAGCTCATGTACATATATGTGAAACCTAAACTTCTTCGACTTATGTCTTATACAACACTCGTCCTAGCCTTGCCCAAACTTATTTTTATCAATAGGAACTTTTCAAATAGACCAGACTTACTGTTCCCTAGAAAAATCATTTTCATACTCAATTCTAAGTTTTGAACAGTTTCCTCACTGAAATTCCCCATCCATACTTCTACTTAATGGCCTATATCTATCCTTCAATTGTCAGTTCTTTGCAGAAGCCTATTGATTTGCTCAGCTCAGTATACTCCCACTGAACCAACGAAGGGTATAGGTATACACACACATATACACACATATATATTGTTCATTTGTTAATTTCATATCCCAAACTAGACTAACTTCCCTCAGGTTTGTTATTCAGGCACATTTCTGTTGTACAGCTATTGGGTCTAACAATGTGCTGGGCACAGAGGCAATCAAAAGCCTGATGCTTGATGAATGAATTTAAATGTTCTGCTGTAAATAGTGTAAACTGATGTTTTCTTATAAATGATTTTGCTTTTGTACCTTATTTCTTGTTACAGAGCTATTAGTTAAGTATAATCATTCTAAGTACAGAGTAACCAGTCAAGAAGTTTTCAGAATGAAAACATTAACATATGATGGTATATTTTAAGGAATACATGGGTTTCAAACTGTTTTCTACACTTTCAGGAAAGAATACAACGGAATTAAAACTATAAACTACAACACAAACACGAACTTTATGAACTCCATTTATCTTAAAACACCCAATGGATTTTTTGCTCAGTTTACAAAATTTAAGGACTGTCAACAAGAGCAGATAACTCGATTTTATACTGTGTGAATATATGAGTACACAAACGCACCTTACAAATGTATTATATCTCCAGTCGAGAAAAGTAAATGAAACGAAAGCCCTTTGTGAACTAAAAAGAGCCACATATCAAGAAGGCAATAGAGTAGCATAGTTAAAAGCGAGGAGCCACCTTGCTTGGGTCTCAATTACATTAGCTGTGTAATCTTGTAGATGTTACGTCTCCGTGCCTCAGTTTCCTTCTCCTCAAATGGGGATAATAATAGTATCTCTCCCAAAGCAAAGCTTTCAAAACAGTGCTTAGCATATAAAAAGCACATATATTAACCATTGTCATTATTACATTGCTAGTTATTAGCCAAATAAAAGCTTCAATGTATAAAGTTCTGATTCAAGTCTGAAGCTGGTTTTACAAAAAGCAGGGTAAGCTATTTACACAAGTTTAAGCTACTATGTGGACCAGTTTCGCAGAATTTTTGCTAATGCTAAACGGGTGATTATTACAGAATTTGTTAGTTTTTTTTAATCTGCAAAGCAATTGACATAGACACTTCTGTTTTCAAGGAGCTTTACAAGCCACAAGAAAACAAATCAACTCTTTGTCATCTCCATATTTAAGCCAACTTAAGAGTGCAGTAAAAGCCTAGGTACTGCTACAGAACGACTTCTCAGAAAATACAAGGTTTAAAAATCGTAATCAGTAATTCTTACGCAGTTGTCAAGCTTTTGTCCTGCTAAACAAAAGCTTAACTGTCAGGGAACCAAGGACCCGTCAGAAAATAAGGAAATAGCACGACCGGGCGGGCCTAGGCGGCTCTCGGGAAAACCTGTCCTCGAACAGATCGCCTCACGCGTTCCGTCCTTCCCTCTCCGCGGGGTGCAGAAGTGGGCTCCACCCGAAGATAAATAAGTGACAGCACTTTCCGTCCACGCCTCTCCTGGCCCGGACCCCTCGAGCCTTCTCACGCCTCCAGCGCCCCCAGACCGCAGCCTCCCGCGGCGGCCGGGCAGGGGGTTTCTTTTTCTTTTATTTCTTCTACATTTATTAGCTGGCATTCTCCTTTAAAGGAAGGGCATTGCTTCCTGTTTTATTTCTCTTTTTATTCTTTGCTATTATCTCTCTGGGCTAAGGGATTCTTTTTTTATTCAGTTGGTTCATTTTGTCCGCGCCATCACTTACCGGCGCCTCATGGTACCGCGGCGCCTCAGCCCAGTCCTGGCGCTGACGTCCTGCGCCAGGAAGCCTAGAGAGTCCCTGTGCTCCCGGGCCGATCCCCACTCAGGGCCATTCAAACGCGGCCGCGCGCGCGGCCCGCCGGGATTGCTCCCCCCGCCGGCCTGGGTTTCTCGTAGGCTCCGCCCAACGCTGGCTCCGCCCCTCTCGAATCGCGTAGGAAGGAGGCAGAAAAGGATGTGTGACCAAAGTGCCTCCTGGTGGCCACAGGTACGCACCGTAGTCTTGCTACTGCGCCGTGAGTAATGCTGCGCTAGGAACTGGTGAAGGTGATAAAAGTCAAAGAATGACCGATCCCCTGCGCTCATGACAGTCTAGTAGAGGAGATGGACCTTAAGTGTTGTACCAGAGGTTCAAAAAATCTGCTATAAAAATATGGTTCGGGGAGAGATTTATTCACTCCCATTTAAATGCACTAAGGGAAAATATTTAAAAGCATGGACTCTGGAGCTATGTGACGTTGAGCAATCATATAAATTCCTGTGTGCTTTGTTTTATGCATCTGTAAAATGGGGATGATAGTAGTAGCTGCCTCATCATTGTGAGGATTAAATAAGTTAATACATCTAAAATGCTTAGAGGAATGTATCTAGCACATGGTAAGCACTATGTAATTGTTAGCTATTATTTTTCAGTTCCTAATAGGTGTCAAACTCTGTGTCACGCTCTTAAGAACACAAGAAATATGTGTGATGCAGACTTTGTCCTCAGGAAGCAGGCTCAATTTCTTTGGGATGGGATACACAGGTATGAGGTTAAGTTTGGATCTGTCTCTGACATGCTTTTAATTGCTGAGGGTAATTCTCTTCATCTTAGTGGAAACAAGGTCTACCCATCTTCAAAGGTAAGTCACTGGTCAAGGTTAACCAAATTATGACAGGAGCAAGTTTGTCTTTGGTGAGCTTCTCACCAATCAAGTAGTGCATTTGTTAGGACATTTTAGGTACTCCTTTCAGAACTCTCTAGGGTTTGCCTAAGAAACAGGTTGGTTAAGTTTGAATCCACAATATTTTTGAGGTCTCCCTGTATGCCAGGCTGACTTTGTACAGGTGCTGGAGACAGCCTGGAGGAGCTCACGGTGACTTGTGCAA